TTGTAGGTATACACCACCATGCCCAGCTTATATCTTTCTTTTCTCCTTTTCTTTCCTTCCCCCTTTCCTTTTTCCTTTCCTTCTTAACACCCAAATATATAGCTCCATTTACTTTTTGGGGCCCTAGAAACCAACGGCTAACTCCAAAATCTACCCCTCCTTTCATTCCCTCCTGAGGTGTAGCACAGCCTTAAAGTTAGACCTAGATTCAAATTCTGCCTCTGCCACTTAACTCTGGACCTTGGGATAAGTTTCTTTATTATAGGAAAACCTAATTGTGTCTTGAATGCTCTGAAAGGGTCCATTGAGACACTTTATCTGACAGGGCACTTGCTGATTAGTCACTGACACTGGCAGCTATTGTAACAACCCCCTTTCTGATTAGATGCTTGCTCCTTTTCACAGCATATTGTTTACTAATCTTGTTTCTTTAATCTGCCCCCATAACCCTTTCCTATTACCATGTGCTCTGTTGACTCTTAAAGTTCTTCATTGGTTGTTTTGCCTTTAGTTTTATCCCCTGAGTCTCTGGTTTACCAGCAGTACCACCTCCCCCATTTCCTAATATCTCTGGAACATTTTCAAAGAAACCAGGCAGCTCAAGATAGGAAAGAAGTGAAACTATAGCACTGGAAGCAGGGTTGGGAGTCTGAGGTCCTCAATGCTTGTCCTGCATCCATGTGGCAATCAGAAGCTTATCACCCTGTGACCTTGTTGGTGCTGGGGCGATATTTCTGGAAATGCAAATTTTACTCTCCTATGCTAAGAACTCTGGCTTTCTAGTATGGAAGGCAGTGTTCTCTAAGGAGACACATTGTCATGGTGTCACTGTTATCAACTTGGTTGAGCAGAGATTGGTGATACTATGGAGAATTGGTTCTGGGGCTCAAATGTAGATAGTGCAATGTAAGAGACCATTCTGCACCACTAGAGAACTTTTCACCCTAAAGGCCAGTGGTGCTTTTGCTGAGACATTGGTGGGGAAAGACATACTTCCTGTGGGGGCCATTCTTTTGCTCTGGCTTCCTCTTGTGCTCCAAGTACCTGCCAGGCTGCCCTATCAGCTGGCAATTGCTTATCACTATCTCCTAATTCCTGACTCTACTCCTTTTCTGCCTAGGCATAGACCTTTTCCTCTGCCAATAATGCTCTTCTTTCTACCTAACGCTCCTCTAAGAGTCATCTTGGTGATGTCTCCTGGTTTTCTCAGGTGGACTTAGACCAGATCCTTCTTCTGTGTGTCTAGCTATCTCCCATGAGTAAAGCCTTCAAAGGTGGGAGTGGTGACTTTCATCTGTGTATTCTCAGTGGCACTGGTACATATAAATTTAACATCTGAAATTGCAGAGAAAATCATGATGCTTATTGAAGACACTGTGTGTACTTATCATGGTGGAAATCCTGTAGATTAGGGAAGGAGAATGAGAACAGGTTCTTGAAATGTGTGAACATAGCGTCCTTAAGCCCTTCTGTTAGGCTTAGGGTTTTTCTCATCCTGTCCCTCTGATGTCTCCCTTCTTCCACATCCATCTCCACCCAGTACACATGCTTCTCCCTTGGCTTGGTGAGGAGGTGCAGCCTTATCACTGAAATGGAAGGTGTGTATGTCTGAGATTTGTCTTTTTCAGAGCAGTGCAACCCTGAAACTCGTCCCATTAAGAATAAAAGATCAGCTGCTCCTGTGAAAACTACACAGCCTGAGGAAAACAAAGGTGTGTTGTTTGGATGATTGATTTCAAACAAACCTAGGGGAGTTTTCAAAGACAACTAATGGAAAGAAATGAATCTAAGACATGGGCTGCAGAATGGCTTTGTTAGGGAGCAGCAGTCTTCTCATCCCTGACCCCAAGAGTGGGTCATGAGTTGTCATGGGTGGTGAGAGAGCAGCCTGACACTTCCTTCATGGGAGGAAACCCAGGAGCAGGAAGCAGTGGGGAGAAAGGCCATGACTGTGGTATAGGAATGTGAGGTGGGTTCTGCTGGTAGAGGCCTTTTCTGGTCACAGCTGTGGGTTTCCCTGCCTGAGGCTGACTAGCTATCAGTTAACCTGAGCTAGGCTGAGGCAGGAGGTTTCCTTTGTTTTGGGTCACTTCACTGCTGCTGGGGACTCCTTCTGCTGGGGTAATGGGCTGTCATTCCATCTATCCTATCCATCCATGTAGAATTTCTTTCGTATGTCCTGGGTTATGTGTTATTCCAGGCCTCTGGTTCCACTAAAGAGGTATTGAAGATCATAGCATAGGGATGGGCCATCTCTGCCCTTTGGGAAACTTCTAGTTGGGTTTAGGAAGGGCCAGTAATTTCTGCCTACGTGGAAGCTCAGGGACTTATGTTTGGCATGTTTTTACACATCAGCTAGTTCACTGGCCCATGGAGGTGGGGTGTTAAGAATTAAAATACCATGTTCCAAGCTCAAAGACCAGAGGGAAACATACTTTAAGTGCTAGGATGCATTTAAGTAAAACCACCATTTTTTCTTTCACCTGCTTTTCCTTTTTTATATAAGAGTAGTATAATTGTGAATTCCAGAGATATTTTTATTTTTAACTACTTGTATACCCCATCACTGTTGGGTGTGCACTTTTTTTTTTTTTTTCCTTCGGGAGTACGTGTTAACATCTGATGCACTGGCTTTGACTGTTAAACAGATTATGCTGTGTGTTTCTTAGATGATGACTCCTCTATAGCCGATTTTCTTGATAGTGATGAGGAAGAAGACAGAGTTTCTTTACAGAATTTGAAGAATTTAGGTAAGTCTGTTCTGTATTTATTTCCTTGTTAACCATTGAGATAATTTTATTGTTTAGAATTTGTTTTTGGTGGTGCTGGGGATCAAGTCCAGGGCTTGTACATGCAAGGCAAGCACCCTCCCAACTGAGCTGTATCCCTAACCATCTACCCACCTTTTTAAAAACACATTGGAGATCAAACTCAGGGACTCACTCATGCAGATAGGCACTCTATCACTGTGCTATACCTCCTGCCCTAATTTCCTTATTATTTTTTGAAATATGACTTAAGCTATTAAAAATGGTGTGGCATACAGGGCCTTTCCTTTCCAGCTGTACAGTTTTGTAAACCTGAATGATTTCACATCTCCTGGCCTGGCCACAATGCCCATTGTTTCTTTTGTCTAGAATCTGGATATTGCAGGTTGGCAAAATTCTGTCCTTCCTTCAAAGTACAGTTTAAGTTTTCTTGGCTCAACTAAGCTTTTCTTGACCCATGTCTCTCAGAATTAGGCACTTGTCTTTGCATATTGCCTTGAACTTATCAGTTAATGTACCACTCATATTTTATGGTATTTTGTCTTATACATCAATTTGTAGGGTAGGGACCAGTATTTCCCTTATCTCCTGTGCTGGATTTATAGTCCATTCCTTAGTGCAGGCTAGTATCACAAGATTAAAATTTTCAGGGGGGAAACAGATGTTAATAATGTACATTTTTGGGGGCTGGAGATACAGCTCAGCAGTAGAACACTTGTCTAGCATGTGTGAGGCCCTGTGTTGATCAGGACTATACACACGCAAGAAGTGTGTAAAAATAGCACATTTTTTTTGTAGTACTTCTTAGTCTACTATTTGTATGAGTTCTATGTATAATTAATTTCATTCTTTCCAGTCAGTCAGGCTAATGGGTTGGTCTTAGCACTTGATACCACTGTAGTGATGAGACAGTTGTAGGGCAGGGTTTGGTTCCAGCAGAAATCATCTCTAGGATACTAATACAATGTAAATGCTGGGTAAACAGTTGTTATGCCGAATTATGTATAGGCAAAATTTTGTAACTGAAAAATTTTAACATTTTCAACCTGATTAATTATATCCATGGTTGAGAGACCCATGGAGCTGGGGGTATGACATAATGGTTTACAGGGATGCAAGAGTTTATTACATTTAAAACATTTAGCTTTTAGCCATCTGTACATGTTCCTACTTGAACTTAGGCTTTTTTTGTTGTTCTTTTTTAAAGGGGAATCTGCAACATTAAAAAACTTATTGCTCAATCCACACCTTAGACAGTTGATGATCAACCTCGATCAGGGTGACAACAAAGCAAAGCTCATGAGAGCCTATATGCAGGAGCCCTTGTTTGTGGAGTTTGCGGACTGCTGTTTAAGGATCGTGGAACCACCACAGAATGAGGATTCTTAAAATGCATTATTGTGCTCTTTGGTCAAGCACATGCCTGACTCCCAGAACTATCTAGTCTTTGCAGTGGGGTGGGTCAGGAAGCAGCTAACGTTGTTGGCCTCCAAACATGGAAGGTGGCTTCCCAGATGCAAGCTGACTGCTGAGGTTGTGCAGGTATCTGTTTCTTGACAGGTGTGTATGTTTCAGGCCATGGGGAGTACTCAGTGTAGCAAATCCTTTATGAAGAGAGCTTGACATTCATAGGGTTGTTTTCAAATGTTTTATTTTTGGTACATAACTTATTTGTCATGTTTCATACTTATTTCAGTTGAAAACTGATCAGTGTTACTAAGTAAAATCAAGATATAGTGGTTCTCTTGTACATTGCATTGTTCATTGTCCTTGGTCCCCGATTTGATTGTTTGAAATTAAATAAGTCAACAACTTATTAAATAAGGTTTTTGTTCCTTTGAGGAACTAAATGCAGTTTTTCCCAGCCAAAGTTCTAAAGCCCATGTTTGCCTGTTTTCTAAAGTGCTTGTGGGTGAATGGGTGCCCCACTGTAGTGACAGATCAAACTCTAAAAAACAGCCTCATCTGCTACCGAGTTTGATCCATGAAGTAGTGAGTGAAATGGTAAGTTCTCTGTGGCCTGAATCCTGGCTTAATCACTAGCAACCCTCACACCTCTCAGTGCTTGGGCTACAGGCCTGGGCCTTGCAGCCTGGAGTTGTTTCACGTGCATACATTTATAGTTGCTGTGGGATAGTTTGGCAGTTGTGTGATTAAATGTCTTTGGCAAGGCATCTGGCAGGAAAAGGCCTCATGGAAACAAAGGCACTACAGATCACTCAGCCAGGTAACACCAGAGGGTAAGAAGAGGTCACACATGGATTGGCCTGTGTTTTTCTAGCAGAATCTGATTAAAGCCAGTAACACTAGAGGGTGAAGGTTCAGGGCAGGTGTCGGCGTAGCGCAGTGGAGACTTTCTGCAGTGAAACCTTATCGAGCCCTGGGGAGAAAGAGATTTAGCTTAGCCCCAGCTCCCAGGAGTGCCAGGTCTTAAAGGTACCTCACAGAGCCAATGTTAGAAATGTGAGGTGTGGACAATTACTGGTCTGAGGGCCATACCAGTGGCAGGACTTTGTTAATGTATTTTTTTAGAATTCTGAAATAGAATCCAATATCATATTTCACATCCATTCAGTATGAGACAGATGAGGAAACCCTAGGAAGGGGTAGAAGTTACCACTTGTCACATTCCTATGACTGCTTCCAGCTGGAAGATCAAAACATTTACACTTCTGTTTACATTTATGCTTGCCTGTGAGTTTTCATGGGAGTGAGACTCAGGCACTCAACCAGTGAGCCAGCCCTTTSTTGTATTTTATTTAGAGATGGAGTCTCACTGATTTATTTAGTGCCTCTCTTGCTGAGGCTGGCCTCCCGAGCCACTGGGATTATAGGCATGTGCCACTATGCCCAACTTGAAGGGAGATTTTATTCAGATTATGGCCTATAGTAATTCCTCTGGTTTGGAAATTGACAAAGCAGAAGGAAGGAAACAATTTTGTTTGCTCCTTGTTGTGGTCCATGCAACACACCGAGTGTTAGCCATTTATAGATGAAGAAATGGAGGCTCTCAGCTTCACCCAGGTCATCTAGTGAAAGGGACACAGCCAAGACCCAGATCCTGAGGTTCTGCTTCTGAGCGCTAACACACCTATCAACTTTCCTCAGCTGATTTATGAGGATAGGCTTTCTAGGGTGAACTAAAAAGCTGTGTGTGACATGGGCTTCCTGAATGCTGGCTCACTCTCTTCTCTAGCTGCTCATATTATAAAAGCAGAGGACTTGGACCATTGATACCTGTTTCTCATGTTTGTCCTCAGCTGGAAAAGGAGAGATGAACCAAGTAATGAGGAAAACATGCTGCCAAATCCAGTGTTTTGTGAAGTGACAAGTCAGTCCCACTTGGGATTAAGTAAAAGGACATTCAAGCTCTGTATGGTGGCACATGCCTATAGTCCCAATGACTTGGGAAGTTGAGGCAGGAGAATCAAAATTTCAAGGCTAACCTGGGCAACTTAGTAAGACCCTGTCTCAAAAACTAAAAAAGGCTGGGGGTATGTAGCTTAGTGGTAGAGGACTTGGCCTAGCAGTAGCAAGGTCCTGAATTCAATTTCTAGTACCATAAGGGGTGGGGACTAGAAGATTCTGGAAGATAGAGTCCCAGTTTCAATAATGGAAATAATCAGAACTTGCAGCTGGTTGGGAAGCTCAGGCTTCGGGTTTACCCAGTAGGGTTAGGGAAGGGTCTCCTCCCAGCCTTAGTCTCCCTGCATTCCCTAGACAGGTGTGAGGAGCTGGACCTGTGGTAGGTTAGGACTGCTATCCCATCACACATCTTACCTGAGGTAGTGCTCGGATGGACCTGACACCAGCCTGGTCTTGTTGTGCTGTCTGGACACTGGAGCTCCTGGAGCTGCTTGAGGGAAGCTGGAGGCAGGCATGGACTACCAGTTTTCTCTGAAAGCCGCGTATACCCACAGCTGCATTGGCCAGGACTAGTCCTAGAGGCCAAAGCCGGATTATTGCCCCTAGGAGCCTGGTCTGCATTGGGGGCAGTGGAGAGTTCGGGGAACCATGAGCTTGGGAAAAGTGTTTTTCTTCCAAACCATCCAGTTCTTTAGAAGCAAGGAAGGCCATTCTGATCTTAAAAAGAAAAAAAAAAATTTTTTAAACTTTAGATTTCTCTAGTCCTTTTTTTTTTTTTTTTTTGGAGGGGGGGGGGTTCCAAGGATTAAACCCAGGGGTGCTTAACCACTGACCCTAGCCCTCTTTATACTTTATTTTGAGACAGGGTCTTGCTAAGTTGCTGAGGCTGGCTTTGAACTTGGGATCCTCCTGCCTCAGCCTACTGAGCCACCGGGATTATAGGCGTGCACCACTATGGCTGGCTTTCTAGTTCTTTTAATGGAAAATACAAACCAAACTATTTTTAATAAATCAGTTTAACAAGATGAATTGAAGGTACCTGATGTGAACAGCTGGATGCCAAGAAATAGAAGAGTCCATGTGGCAGAAAATAAGGCAGTTGCATAAGCAACAGCCTTTCTGATAGGCCATAGAAGTTATGCATTTAAAGTATACAAATCCATGGTTTAGTATGTTCCAGGAGTTAAACTCATGCCACTGTTTATTATCACTCACTACCACCATGGGAGGAGCTGCCTCTGCCTGTCTTGCACAGGAGGAACACAAGGCTGAGAAGCTGAACATCCTGCCTGACACTGCCCCCCACCCCCATTCCCACCCACTTGGGTCTGTCTGGTGCCAGAATCTCTGTGAGCTGCCCACCCTGACTTCTCAAGTCGTACTCACTCTCCACTTCTGCCATGCGTGCTTGATGACTGTGGCTGCTATGTGCAGCCTCTGGATGTGTTTCCGAGTTAACCAGGAACGAACGGCTAAGAGGTTTGCCCAGAAAGAGCAAAGAGATAACAATGGTCATTAGAGCACTTGGCAACCTGGCTGTGCCAAAACATCAGAAATGTGTTTTATCTAAAGTATTGGTTACCATGTACTATTATATAAAGTTCTAAAGTCAACACATGAAGCAAAATGGGGCTTGTTTTTCCCTGCTAGTACTGGGAATTAAACTCAGGGGTACTTTACTACTGAGCTGTATCCCCAGCCCCATTTTATTTTTATTAAAAAAATTTTTTTGTAGTTGTTGATGGACAGAATGCCTTTTTTACTTTTATGCGGTGGTGAGGATCAAACCCAGTGCCTCACATTTGCTAGGCAAGTGCTCTGCCACTGAGCTATAGCCCCAGCCCTCAGCCCTCAGCTCCCAGCCCAATTTTAAATGTTGAGACATGATCTTGCTAAATTGCCCAGCTGGTTTAGAGTTTCAATCCTCATGTGTGGCTAGGATTATAGGCACATGCCATTGCACCTGGCTCAGGATGGGTTTTTAAAAACATTTCACACAATGGTGGAATGAGATGGACAAATATCATTACTTAGACTGCACATATGGTGTGATACTACATCATGTACAACCAGTGAAATGAAAAGCTGTGCTGCAGTCGTGTACAATGAATCAAAATACATTCTGCTGTCATATATACCTAATTAAAATAAATTAATTTGAATTAAAAAAAAAAAAAACACTTTACACTCAGAGCCTACACAYTGAGTGATACCTGGGAGGCTTTGACTGGCCAGGCCCAGAAGGATCACCTCCATCTCATACTCAATCCCTGGCAATGTCAGGAATGAGAGGGTTTTGGATCATTTGTACTTCCCTGGGTTCCATCCCTGGTGCTGCAAACAGGAAAAAAAAGTCTCAAAAAAAAAAAAAAAAGAATGGTACTACATGCCTGTAATCCCAGTGATTTGGGAGGTTGAGGCAGAAATGTGTGAGGCCAGCCTTGGCAATTTAGACTGTCTCAAAACAAAAAAATAAAAATGGATGGGGATGTAGCTCAGTAATAAACTGCCCCAGGTTCAATCAATATTTACTTATTTATACTAAATAAATGGATAAATAAAATAAAGTCCTCAAATTTTCTTGCTTGCTTTGAGTGTATGATACAACATCATCATATGCCCAAATGCTGATAAAATTAATTACTGGCTGGTGGGAATTTCTATTTCCTCCTCTTAAGGTTTCAGCATATTCTAATTTCTTTTGGTATGATTATATAGAGAACAAAGGATACTCAATTAAATAGCATTAAAAAACTTTAAAGACAAATACAAAAACCACCTGTTATCTCCCCAATCCAGAGAGTTGTACAGTATTTATTTACCTTTACAGTTCTTTTTATGCCTCTACACATAAACACACCTTACAAGGGTGGGATCATCCTTAATCTATAGTTTAATATCCAGGAAGTGGTGTTCCAGTAAGTGTATAATAGTCCTCAAAAATATTTAACTGTGTCATAGGGATGATCCATAATTTAGCCATGATTACACCCCTGTTAGCCATTTGGGCTATTTCTACCATTTTTTCAAAATAAGACTGGTATGAATCTTTTCCTTTGATGAATCAAATGCTGTCACTTTTACCTTCTTCCAAGCCCTGCAGCCTAGCAGGTATTGATTTATGAAAAAGGAATGAAAAAGACAGTGGCATAAACAGCTATGTTGGTCTGAGAAAAGGGAACTGAAGGCAAACATTTAGCCTAGGTAGGAACGATTTGGTTTCCATTAACCTGCGGACTCTGGGCGAGGTGCACAGGGGGTTCAAATCCTAGGGCACCCAGGGTTTGCCATCCACCTACCTGCCTGAATGAGGGTGGCAGCTCGCCTCTGCCTCTTCTGCTTTCTACGCTGGTGTTGTCTCCAGCCACACTGGATGCAGCGGGCACACTGCTCCAGCACCTGCGTACGTCTGTTTTCCAGAAGCTCTAGCTGGAAGGAGTTACGTCCACTGAGGTCCTCAGCCTCTCCTCCCACTGTCCCCAGGAGGGCCCAGACTGTCCTGCTGTGGACAGCCCGAAGCGAAGCTGGCAGGCATAATCTCATCCCTCAGCCAGCTTACCATGAAGTCAGTCATGAACACCTTGGTCCTGCCACACTGCAGTGGAGCTGGTGTGCACTCAGCTGAATCAACAGGTGTGGCTGCTGTCCCAGTTAGTGCTGGCAGAATGTGGAGAATGTCCTGGAGGAGAGTCTGCAGTGTGGCCGCCTCACCCTGTGGTGGCTGTTCTGGGGGATGGAATAGAGACTCCATCAGTGCATGGTCCTCTCCGCATGCTTTGGTAGTCCTAAAAAACTGGCTTTGGTCTCTTCAGCATCTTCCAAGCCTCTTTCCTGCTCTTCTTACCTCCAGCCTTTCCTCCCTCCTCCCATTTTTTGGGGGAGACCAGAAGCAGTGGCTCTGTTGTCTCAGGGACCTGCTATTCTGAGGAGTCTTGGAGTCCCCACTGTGGCTATGCCCTAGAGTATCCTGCAGCCTCCATGGCCTCAGGTCTCTTTGGACAGGCTAGCAAAGGGGGTGATGCCACTAGAGCAACTCCTTCCAACCTGGCACCCCAGGCCACTCAGCCTGCATTTATTTACATGGTCCCAACATCCTGAGAGGCAGAAAGGGCAGCTGGGCCACTACTGCAGCTCCTGACCCCTTACTGCTTGCCATTTATGGAAAAAGAACAAATTCCAGTTCCACGAAGGCCCAACAGGTCCCACTGTTGCCCTCCCATGTCTTATGGGGCTAACTCCTGTGCAGGAGGATTTACCTGAGGGCTCTGAACACCTTTAGCTGCTCAGGGCCTCCCTGGAGACACAGGCTACCAAAGCAGATGCCAGCGATCAGAGACAGCCGCAAAATCAAACGGCCCACAGGGGCTTGGGCAAGAAACATGAAACAGGAAAGCTAACCAGACAGAGGAGTAAGAAATGAGTGAAAAGAAAGTGATGAAACTGCCCAAGAGGGGAGAAAAACAAAGCAGAAATGTCTTATGAAGTCCCATGGGCACTAGGGTAGTGCTTGGGTGGGTGGGGGAGTAGCCGTGGCTGGGGATCTTGTGTCCCATTCCTGGCCTCCTTATTCCTGCAGCCTTGGTTCTGTCTACATGCCAGCTACCTACAATCAGCCATGGGCCAGACTTCCCCTGAGGTTAAAGCTTGCCCAAGTGCCTTCTGACAACTCCTGGGACCTGGAGCTCGTCAGTCTTGGAGGGCTTTTGAGCTTCCCCAGACCTCTCTGGCTTTTCCTGTCTGTGTACTGGTCAACCCCTACCAAGGCTGACCAGTTTCTTCCACACATCTCTCACCTCTCTGGCTTCTCTCCCCTTGGCAGCTTTGCAGCCTCACTCCCGAAACCTCCACAAGGCCCCCCGGCTGATGGAGCTGCTGGCTTTCTTCCCTGCAGTGCCACCTCTTCTGTCCAGAGAATAAAGTCTAGGTTCCCTGAGTAGATCACCTGTCACCACTGTCCTGATGAGCCAGCAAAACTGCAATGGCCTGGAGTTCCTCACAACCACACTGCTGTCTCACGCCTCTGTTCAGATTAGCCGATTCACCTGGCTACCCAACTTACCCTCACCTACCACCTGCTTTAGGAAGCTTTCCCCAGTCCACACCTGCCCAGCACTTCCCCCAGCATCCTGCTCACAGCTCTGCCTTCCAGCATTCCATAGCTGTCTTTGAGTTTGTTCCCTGTATTGAATGAGGAGCCATAAGGGCAGGGCTATGTTGTATTCAGTGACCTGTGTTTGAACAAAGGGCCCCCACTCACCAGAGTGCTCTTTGGCAGAATATGGGTTATGGAAACTTGAGGATGCTTGAGGACAGAGCCTTCTCAGTAACTCATATCGTTCCATAAAGTTCTGGTGAGAGACCCTGCAAGCCAGAGCAGGTGAAAGAGAATGAGTTCATCCGTGAGCCAGGAACATCACTCAGGGCTCAGTTCCTTCAGCATCTCTCAATTCCTGACCCTTCACTTCTCATAGGCCTGAGCTGCATAGAAGGGCCCTTTCCCATTGGGTTATCTAATTAGCATTTTTCTGTTTCTTTCCTAGCACCAGTTGCACTTATTTTTCCTGACTCTATAGAAATGTATACCCCAAGAGGGAGAGACTCACCTTCCTTATTCACTGATACATTACCAAAAACAATGCTGGTAATTTTTATTGTTCAAAACTGTGTACAGTAAATGAATGGATAAATTAACAAGTGCTGCCCCTTGAGTTCCAGGTGGACTTCTATAGACCTGCCTCTTTTTCTTCATCTCTACCTCCAGCTCTGTCTTGGGCAGGCTCCTGTCTGGGCCAAGTCCTGTAATTCACCCCAGCAATGCCCTGTTCCCTGTGGTGGTATGACTCACTCACCGAATGGGGAAGCCAGCAGCACTGATATGAATGGTCTCTACAAGGCCACAGGCCTCCAGTTGGCTCAGGACCTATAGGGTGGGAAGATAGGGTAGGCACTTGTGGGACCCGAAATGCCATTCCTTCTGGCTTTTTCTTGGGCCCTAGCCTGTGTGGTGCTGGAGGCTCTCCTGAGCCTTGGCTGACGAGGGGTATCTCCTTGGGGTGGCAAATCAAGGAACCCTGAAAAAATTTCCTCTGTAGAAAGAGGGCCCTGGTAGTTCCAAGTCTCCCCAGATGCCCGAGTTTTGATACAGTTGAGGGCTTTGATGGTCCTGGCTGTATCTCATCCCTTCTTTTGGGGAAGACTCACTATCTTAGAATGCAGCCCAATCAGATTTCTAGTTCTGATTGTTTTTGCAGGTAGCAGAGTGGTTCACAGCTGAGGGGCTGGGAGGTCATACTGTAAAGATTCTCCCACAGTCTGAATTCCAGTCTTTACCACACAGCCAAGTAGTCCTGGCTACCAACTCCAAGGCCACATCTACCAGATGACCCTGTGCTCCTTTTTAACACTGTCCAGCACTCACACCTCATCCATAGCCCTCAGAGCCTGGTACCCTGAACAAAAAGGGTAGCTGCTGGCCAAAGTATTTTGCGTAGATTAGATAAAAAAAAGTGACACTCCAGTCAGAAATGGCTACATTGTACATGGACTAAAATGACACAGAGTTTCAACTAGTCACAAAAGACACCTATCAGTCCTTCAATCCCTCCTCAAGGCACCTAACTTGATGAGCAGAGAGCAAGAGACACTGGAGTCCCTACTTGCCTCCTCGCCTAAGCTACTGCACAGTACATGCCACACAGCCACAATTGCACATGACTGCCCTGCCCCAGCAGAGAAGAGCAGCCCTCCCTAATGTCAGGACCAGTCTGAGACTCCCAGAGACTCTGTTTGGAGACGTCTTGCCCTGCATCCTCCCAGGGCTTGCCAGATGGGGATCAGTGCAAAGCAGCTTTGGTCCAGTGTTTTTACCTCCTCTTGGAGGAAGCTCTGTGGCTGGCCCTGGCTGTTGGGCTTAATACAGCGAATGTAGTGGGGTGTGGTGTTCTGCAGGATCCGCAGGAGCTGCTCCAGGGAAGCCTGAAGATGGGAGAGTACATGGGTTAAACAGGGACTGGGGCTGCTCAGGGCCATAAGCCAAGCCCTGGTTAGTAACTGTAGCCAATGGCTCCAGCAGCCTTCTCAGCCTTGAGACCAAGATCCTCATGTGCCCTGGTGACAACTACCGGAGGATTTTACCGAAGGGGGAAGACAGCAGCACTGATATGAATGGTCTCTACAAGGCCATTCCCAAAGCACACCCCCTTCGTACCTACTATTGCTCCTCACCCTTGTCTCTAAGTAACTTTTGGAACTATGACCTTCATCTGATCAGTTTGCCTGCATCTGATCTCAGCTTCCTCTCTTGCCCCATCTCCCCAGAGCAATCATCTGGAAGAGAACAGTTTCAACCCCTCCCCCACCCCCACCCCCTCCACTGCCATTCTTTCAGGCAACAGTTGCCATTATTAAGCTTGCCCTGTGTGATGGAGGCTTGCAGGGACCAGGACCTAGGCAGTCTGCTGCTGTCTCAGAGCTTAGTCTCAGGGGCCACACACATATAGGACACCCTCTGTGGTGTCTGAAGCTGGGGTAGAAAAATGCTAATCTAACTGGGTACTACAGGGTGCCTCCTCAAGGAGGAGCTCTCTCCTCAATGACAGAGCAGAGGTTTGATGGATGAGTAGAAAGAAACTAAGAAAATTTGTGTGGGAGCTGAAGGGCAGTGGTCAAGAGATCCCAGGTGTCAGGTGTGGTGGCGTATGCCTATAATCCCAGCAACTTGGGAAGTTGAGGCAGGCGGATTGTAAGCTCAAAGCCAGTCTCAGCAATTTAATGAGGCCCTAAACAACTTAGCAAGATCCCATCTCAAAATAGAAAGTAAAAAGGCTGGGATGTGGGTCAGCACCTTTGGGTTCAATCCCCGATACAAAAAAAAAAAAAAAAAAAAAAAAAAAAAATCCCAGGAAGGTACATGCAAGGGCAATAGTAGAAAACTGACAATACTGAGAAAAATGACAAGCCTGTGCCTGCTGAGGACAGGTTTGAGCAGGACCCACTCAGAGAGGTCCATTACTGTTCTCCTGTGAGCATCCTATCATCAGTGAGCAAGAGTCCTTCCACTCCCCCAAGATGTCACATCATTACATCTGATGGCCTGTGTGTCCCGTCTTTGTTTCTACCCTGAAGTTAAAGCCCATGGGAACAGAGACCACATCTGCTTGACATATAACAAATCACTGCACCACTGCTCCAAGCAGATAGCTCCAGTCTTGGGACGGGCTCAATAAACATTTGAGATTGTCATGTCAGAACCACCAGACCCACCTTGAACTTGGACACCACAGTCAATGCAGGGGTCCTGTTCTGGCCAGAGGGTTTTTCCTGGGTCTTCTCTTTGGGGTCAGTAGGAAACAGCACAGTGAGTAAGGAGTGCTGGGATTGCTGCAAGAGCCCAGTCAGTTCAGGAGGGACGGGGTCCTATAGAAAAAGGGCAAGGGTTGCAGGTGAGAACAGGTGGACTGCTTCCTAGAGCTGTCCATATGCCCCCCTGGATGCCCAAGCCAAGGCAGGGCTTCCGGGAGGGCAGGGCCTGAGTCCAGGCCAACCAAAGACCCAGACCCAGGCCAACAGGTCATTTCCAGGCAGGTCAGGCTGGATTTGCAGAGACCCAGATAGTGATCCTGGATTCTGGGTGGACATTTGAGAGAAAAAGGATGCCTAATGGGAAACCACATGCATGAAGCACAGTGTCCTGCTTCATGCACCATCTCTTCCAGACTCTGGTCCAGGCTGAGCTCACCTTGTTCTTCTCCACCAGGCCTGCTGTGTGGTACCGCACAGGCCCTGCAAAATGCACCACCACAAAACTGGGCTCCCGGCTGAGCTTATTGTGGCCTAAGCAGGGGCTACCTGCCAAGGCACTCTCAATGCGTGTCTGGAGCTGGGCTGCACTGCTTGGCCGATTTAGGCGGCACTCCTGTGGGGTTGGGAGTGGGCAGTCAGTCACAAAAACAAGAGGGTTTCATAACCCTCATAGTCCCCACTGTCCGGCTTCCATGGCAGCAGGGTCGTCACACAGGAATTATAGTGACCCCAAGAGGGAGAATAGAGGAATCAGCAAACCCATTTGGCAGATGGAGAGAGAGAGGCAGAAAGAGAGCGCAGAACAGTTAAAACCACAGAAAAGCCCAAAGACCAATTCTGGTGCTCAGTTCTAGTGGACCCTCTCCACCTCGTTTATGAGGGAGCAGATGCTGATAGGGCTTCCCTCGATGAGATCCAAGCAGGTCTGGTTGTCCTGGTAATTGACAAATGACCACTCCAGGCCTTCCACTGCGTATTCCTCCTAGGGGACAGACGGGGAGTAGGATAGAAGAAGGCCTCCCACAGCTGGCCTTGGTACCTCAGCATGTTTCAAAATAGCACCAAAGAAGGAACATGAGTCTATCAAAACATTACATTGGTCTGGGAGTGTAGTTCAGTGCTATAGCACTTGCCTAACACGCATAAGCTCCTGGGTTCCAAAAACAAAACCCACCACATCGTACATCATATATATAACTATTACTTGTCAAAAACAAAATGAGGAATAAAAGGCTCCCAGTCAGAGCTGGGCTGGGTTGAAGGACCAGGTGAAGTGAAGGACCCAGAAGAAGTACCGCCCACCCTGCCCTGCCGCACCTGCTGAGCCCTGAGGTAGTGAGCCACAAAGTGTTGCTGTAGCTTCTCATTGGCATAGTTGATGCACAACTGTTCCAGACTGTTGTCAGGAAATGACTCAAATCCATACACATCCAGCAGACCTGGGAGGAGGGAACTCATGCGGTCACTGCAGGAGTAGTGGGATTCCAAGACCCCAAGGTGATTGGGTCCTTGATAAGGTCTCATACTTGGTAGCCTGGGGATGAGGTAAGTGAGCCTGACACCTTCTTGGTGAGTTGAGAACACCACTTTTATTCTCTGCACCCCTCCCAGGGTGGTCCCAGCTCTACTCCATGTGCTCTCAGAGCAGGCAGAAGAGCCAAGTGAAATATGAGGGGCAGTAGAGGGCATCAGGCCCATTTTTGAGTCTGAATCCTCTGGTTCTGAAAGGCACCTTCTGTGAGGAAACCAGGTACCAGGGAACATTTTCAGTGTCGAATCTAATTCAGAAGGCCTCAGTCTCACCAACCTAGTTGGTGCCTAGAACACCACTATTCCACGAGCAAACTGCACTGGCACCTCTAGGCATTACTTCCTCCATTCCCTGACTATCCATCCAGTGTTAGAATGATGTTGACCTGTCAGGTCCCCTGGTCTAGCTTTCATCCATCCCCCACTTCTCTTCTGGGATTAGAGCTGGGTGTCTGGAAGAAAAGGGGCCTGTACAGCCAAGACACCAACCAAGTCTGTCTGGAAAGACACAAATGGTTAGATGTGAGCATCAGTAAGTACAGATCTCACCCAAACGCTGGATGAATGGAAGAAGAGATGGGGGTACGGAGAAGGGATGGGCTGCTCAGAGCCTCACAGGGGACCCAAGCCTCTCTGTTCACGGCTCTACTGCTTTTTTCTGGAGGGTTCCTGACAGGGTAAGCTGCTGCTACCTATGAAAGTGGTCCATGAGTCGGGGTCTGCATAGATGCTACTGTTGATCACCAACACCAGCCAGTCAAACAGCCTGTAGGGGAGAAGAGTTGGACTGTGATGAGGGGCTGAGGCTGAGCCTGGGGATGACAAAATTGCTCTTCCAGCCAGGGAGGCAACCCTCAGGGAAGGGCCTTGTATTCTGAGCCCAGTAGACCAAAGGCTAAAAATCATCTTCCTGCATATCCTGTCTTGACCTACTATAGAGACTCTGGACATGCATGTTCCCAGGTGCACACAGACCTGGCCTGTCTTTCCAGTAGACAGAGCACAGGACAAGCTAGGTTCCAGGACAGATAGGGCACAAGTCTGCATCAGTCACATGTCTTGACACCAGTTGGTGTCATGACTAGAAGGGGCCATTGGGCAGGCTAAGGTGGGCTTCCTTAAGAACTGAGTTCATAGAATTCCAAGTCTACCTGCAGAGCTAAGAGCTCAACACCCTGCCACATCCTTCAGCTCAGTCCTGCACAAGCAGACCCTGAGCCACTTAAGGCCAACAATGGCATCCTCCTTCTGGAACCATCACCAACCTAGAGAAGGTGAGGTTACTGTAGGAGGTGGTGGCATGTACAACACTGTTCAGGGTTTCTTCTTTACAGTTTTTCTTAAAAGTTGCTCTGCAACTTTTTTCCCCAATTCAGTAAACAGCTCCTCTTTTTACAACAGGGCTTTAAACACCCATTTGAGCTGCTAAAAATGAATGACCTAGTGTTGCAATGACTGATGGTTTCTATGTGTAAAATGTTCTATGGTTAGGAGCTCACTTTGTGACCTTCACATTTTAACTGCTCATTTTGCAGTAAAGCAAAGGCTTTCAAAATCACTGACCTGAAATTCTCTTAGAGGCAGTGGTATCTGAGTCTCTTGTTGAAATGATTTTAGTCTAGGCCCAGCTACTGGGGACCATTTTCAATTCAGAGGATCTTTTCCCTCAGTAGTGCTTCTCAGGCTCTTGACTCTTTGAGAAGTTCATGGAAAGCACAGGGACCCTCTCTCCAGAAGGCTGCCTGAGGTCCCAAATGCATGTGTGCACATATAAATATATATGTTCATTCCATAATCTCGGAGGATTCTGGGTCCCTGGAAGAACTTATAAGGCACCCTGAAGCTTCTCAGAGCCTAAGGTGAGACCATCCTTGACCACATGGCCAGAGACTGGAGATGCTCATGTAACACACTGGGAAAGGCCAGGAGCCCACCTTCCCCACTGTGCTGCCCACACCTGTGGGCTGAGCCTCTGGCTCTACCACCATCTATCAAGCTCCCCAGATAAGTAACACAAGGTCTTAAGTGTCAGGGTCCAAGAAGAGAGTGGAACCTATCAACCCAACATTCTAAACCTAGAACTGTGAAGATGCCAGTTCACCTCTGGGGCCCGCTTTGCCAGCAGACAGCTAAGCAGGCTTTCCTTGCCTGTTGCCCATGACAAAGCAGGCTCCTGTAGCTGAATTGAGGTCAGGAATATGGCAAACTCTCCTTCCACACTCAGAAACAGAAGTCAAAGGCATAGTTCAAGAAAAAACATGGGAGGCATTCCCTGCTAAGAAACCAGTCTGCTTTATCTGACACCCCCAACCCTGTGCCTGCATCTACTGCCTGATCACCAGTGTCTGGTCCAACATTTGTAACTGCTCACCGTGCATAGACCAGTTTGGCCAGACAGTCTCTGCGGGTGTCACACTCAGCTCGGGAGCAGGCCTTCCGGAACACCTGCTGCTGCCTGCCCGCCCTGATGGTTCTAATCCGCAATGTCTCCAGCAGCATGTTCTCTGGGAGCTGCAGTAACGAGGCTGATGTCCTGACAGAGCCTGGGAGAGGCAAATCCTCCTTAGGCAAACCACTCTTCAAACTACGAAGCACTGTGAAGTCCTCACAGTGGAACCATGACTCACCCAACTGGACAGAGGAGACCTAGGCTTTGACAGGCAAAGAGACTTGCCAAAGGCCTCCATAAGTGGCAGAGACAGGACATGAACCCAGGACTTCTATATCCCCACCCACAATGCCATCTGTGGAACAATGACTTTATTAGACCCTTTTACTCTCATTTTCTCATCTGTAAGATGGATATGATAATGTCCACCTCCCCAGAGATCGGGTGAGGAGTAGATTATAGCAGACAGTTTCCATCCTCTAGTTTCCCTCCTAACCCCCAATGTTGTAGTTTCTAGCCAGGGCCCACCCTACTCTCCTGTTCCCTCGCCCCTCACACTTGGCCTCTTCCGTCAGTTGGCAGGGCTGGGCTTCATCCTCTGAGTCTGCAAATTGGACATTGCCAAGGTGTAGCAGTCCAGCTAGGACCTGAGGGGGCAAAAAGGTATGGTCAGAAACAGGAGAGGACTGAAGTGAGCCCTCCTTCTGAATATAATCAGGACAAGACTGAAGAATAGTTCTCGACTACATCCAACCATGAGCTGTACAAGGTATATGCATCACCTCCATTTTTCCAGTCCCCTAGAAGGCACATGCTATGATGATGCATGTGCTGGAGATGGGAGAGGTAGACTGGGAGAGGCTGACTCCTAAGCCCGGGGATACTCTCTGAGGGAGAAAGGCAAGATTAGAACCCCCGGGGGGGGGGGGGTCTGTCTTCAGATGCCTCACAGAGCAGCCAGTGGGCCCCCATGTGTACCAACCACCTGTCCCTCTGTCCTCCACTCTCTAGACCACACTGTGTGGGAAAACTGATCTTGTCAGTTATAGGCCAGGGTTACTTCTGTGTCTGCTGGGGGCTTGGCTCTGGCTTCCTGGGGCCCTTTCTCAGCCCTGTTGGGTTTAGGATTCCCATCCAGGAAAGCAGCTGAGATCTCGGTCTCCATACAGTGTGTGCCACTCTTCTGCCTTTGAACACAAATGCATGGACAAACCCACAGGAGCTATGGAAAGGAAAAACCCCTCCAGGCCCAGCAACTTTAAAACCCTTGGACTAGAAGAAAAGGGCCCTTTCTGCCGTTCCCAGGCAAGTTACCTCCTTTCACTACTGGCCTTCTGGCCACAACTACCCAGGTGAGAACTGTTATGCCCAGTGGGCAATATGGCTGTGGTAGAGGGTGATATGATACACCCCCAAACCAGCAGCACTCCTGCCTGGACTCCTAGTGTTGTCCACTCCTGGTCTTGTCCCCATATGATATCCTTCTCTCCAGCCTCTTACCTGGCAGTGTCCATACTGGGTATAATACCTTCCCTGTCTGAGCAGCCCCCATCTGAAGGTAGTCAATTTCCATTGCACTGTCATCTCCCTGAAGTATCTTTTCTGTTCCTGCTGTCCCCCTATCCTATTTAGCCTGTCCTCTTGCTTTGGGGGCTGAGGATGTGAGGGGGAAGGAGGCAGTCAGTCTTGTCAGCAAAGGTGAAGGTAGGAGGAAGCCACTGTGGGGATACACACATGACCAAGAGGGAGGGGCAGCAGATGGGAGTGGAGAGAGGAGAGGAAAAGAAAGGCTGGACTTTGGAATTACTATGTCTGATAAATTTATGACAGGTAGGGCATGCCTATAATCCCAGTAGCTCAGAAGGCTGAGGCAGGAAGATCGCAAGTTCATAACCAGCCTCAGCAAAAGCGCAGTGCTAAGCAACTAGGTGAGACCCTGTCTCTAAATAAAATACAAAATAGGACTGGGGATGTGGCTCAGTGGTCGAGTGCCCCCCGAGTTCAATCCCCAGTACAAAAAACAACAAAAAAACAAATTTACTCTATTACAGAGTGATATTAACTTTAGGTACGTCATTTTACCTCTCTGGTTTTCTTAAGAGTAAAATGAAAATAATCTCCACACACAAGGCACTGTTGAAAAAAAACAAGTGAGCTAAGAGGTATGATTATGATTTTTAAGTTTTAAATTGTTAAGACAAATATGTGGTAGGATTATTTCTCTATTCTCATAACTGCAGTAATAACTGACCCAAGCCATCTTAGGTCACATAGGTCACTGTACTATGTTCTGTACTCTAGCACTATGTACTATATCCTGTCCTCTATGGCCATCTAGCCCCACTACTCATCTCCACGGAGAGGTGACCAACTGGCTCCTTGGAGACTGTGTGGTAGGGCCCAAGGCCCTAGATGTTCAGGGAAAGGCAAGAGTTTCAAGTCCAGGGAAGGATGTTACAGAAGGGGCTGCCTGGCACCTTTGCCAATATGAGCAGGATGGCTCTCTTCTGACCTTAAAGATGTTGTTCTGGGTGGGGGTATCGATGCCCAAATGGAGCATGGCCTCTCTGGTCACCTCAAAACAATCCTCTGAAAAAAAAAACCCAGTGGTGAGCAGGAGCAGCAGGAGGGCAAGGGAAGCAGACCCTGTGCAGAGTGGGCATGTGCTGTTGGGCTAATCCAGGATGTGGAGTGAAGCTCCACTTACCTTCCAAAGTTCTCTCTGGGTTGGGCAGCCAGGAGAAGGTGGATCCCTTGGGGAGGTGCCACTGGACCCTCTCCTCCTCACTGGCTCCTTTGCATATCTGTGGAAGGGTGGGTAGGTGAACTGGGAGTGCAAGGGTAGCCCAGGCTCCACAGGCCTGGGGTTGGGATGATAGGAGAAATGGATATAATGTCACAAAACTGAGAGAGCCCAGGGTAGGAATGGGAACAAAAGAAGAAGCAAATGCCATCCTGGGTATCTCCCATCTGATGCACACACAMAAAAAAATCCTGCTCTGGGAAAGTCTTTAGTCCAGTGAAGAACTACAGCTCCTGTCTGGTGAACCCCTATCTTGATTGGAGTGGTACTTCTCTACCTAAGGATGCTCCCTTTCTTAAAACAAAGAGACTTCCAATCCATACCTTGGGGATGCCCAGTCTAGTAAAGGGGCACAAGTCTAGGGAAGCCTCATTCTAGTAAAGGACACAGTTCCCTAAAAACAGAATACCAGCCTCGAAGTCTTCTAGTCTGGCAAAGAGGCAGAACATACTCTTCAGCCAAAACTGTGCTGGAAGCCCAGGTCTCGTATGAAGCAGAAGTGTTCCATATTAGTTTATGGGAATAAGCTGGGCACAGTAGCACTTGCTTATAATCTTAGCTACTCAGGAGGATTGTAAGTTTGAGGCCAGCTTCAGCAACTAAGCAACACTGTCTCAAAAAAAAAAAAAAAAGGGGGTGGGCATGTAGTTCAGTATTAGGGTACCCCTGAGTTTAATCCCTAGTACATTAAAAAAAAAAAAAAAAAAAAAAAAGGAAAGAAAAAGAAAAAGTTGAGGAATAAGCAGCACTACTAAAATCAGATGAAGGAGCCAGGCATGGAAGACCTGGAGACAGACCCAGCCCTGCCCTGCAGGTGGGCACTGTAGGTCCCTCTTGGCACAGACCTGATAGAAAATGTGGAAGTTCCTCTCACTGGAAGCCTGGCAGGCCACACGAGTTTTCTCTAGGAGGTAGGTCTGGACTGCAGCTCCTGTCATCTGCTGGGCCCTGGCACAAAAAGGTAGGAGCCCATTAGTTGTGTATTTATTCAATAGCCATCTATTTAGCACTTACCGTGTACCAGACTGCCACCTAGCAACTCCCTGCCAACCTATTCTTCTTAGTAGGCTGTGAACCACTCAGAATGTCCTTAGGTATTCTGGGAACTTCCCCTGCATCTAGCTTAGGTGGGCAGGGCCATGGCCTCTGTATATGGCTTTTGTCCCATCCCAAGGCATGAGCAGAAGCTGTAGCTTAAAGCTCAGAGTTATGGCCCAAAGAGGTAGCAATTTATTTAGAAGTCCCTGAGCGGGGCTGGGGATGTGGCTCAAGTGGTAGCGCGCTCGCCTGGCATGCGTGCGGCCTGGGTTCGATCCTCAGCACCACATACCAACAAAGATGTTGTGTCTGCCGAGAACTAAGAAATAAATATTAAAAATTCTCTCTCTCTCTCTCTCTCTCTCCCCTTTAAAAAAAAAAAAAAAAAAAGAAGTCCCTGAGCAAGGGTACAAGCTGAGGAATACAAAGGCCATGTCAAGAACACTACTCCAGTTCCTAAGGTGAGAGCAGCTATGATTCTCAAGGTTCAAAGATCACTATAGAGTTCATTGATCCTAAATATTCTCATACACATACATGACAAATTCTGCCCAGAGAGGTGGCCAAGGCTGGTGACAGCCCCAGCAGTTTCCAAACCCTGGCCAGTCCTCTCACCCCCCACCACCAGGGCCAAGGAGACAGCAGTAATTACCTGTTCAGCTGGAGCTGGATGAACTTCCCAAAGCGACTGCTGTTGTCATTCCTCAGCGTACATGCATTCCCTATAAATAACACCTATGTTTGCATAACTTCCCTAGGTTTTAGAGTTCCCAAAGGGACAAAAGGATGGGCACAGCTGCCCATCCTCAAGTCACCTAAAAGCCCTTTAGTTGGTTTCTATATCATGGGGGACAGGACTAGGGAATGGGCACTCAGGCCTTGGCAAGCAAAATGCAGAAGAGTTAGAACTTCCTGGCAAGGAGGTGGAATGAGCAAGCCTACGCCATCAGGAACTTTTTTTGTTTGAAGGGAGGTCAAAAACAACACACTGTCATTATTGGCTTCAGACAGCAAGATATATCATCTGGGCTTCAGTCTCATCAAGGACACCAATAGCTATGCTTCCTTAGACAAATCTCCTTTAAACCATCTGGAAACTGAATGGAAAGATAGGATTTGGACTAGATGAGTCACCAGGTCCTCTTCAACACTGTTACATGTGTCTAGGATGAAGGCAAGATGACCAAATGATATCCCCTTTATTGGAAGGAGGTTGGGGGGAACTGGGAGAAGGCTGGGGGTCCAAGGCAGTGTTCCTCTTCATGCCAGGTGGCAAACCCTGGAGAGGAAATGGGACTGAAGCATAATACAGAGGTTGCTGAACTCACCAAAAGCTTCCATGACAGGGTTGGAATTCAGGATCCGCTGTTCGATCCTCTCGGCAATCTTATGGTTCTCCCAGGAAGTGGGTGAGGTAGCTACGACAGCATAGAATTTCATCAGGCAGCGGGACGTCCATGTCTGCAGGAAAAAACAGCCTCATGGGAGCTGTGTCCATGTTCTTTCCTATTACCAAGCCTGCCTGAGGAAGTGGTGTCCACCAGAATGCTCTTCTAAGAACCACCATGTGTGTTGCTGACCAAATGAATGACTACTGAATTTAGCTCTGGCCTTGGCAATGCACTATTATAATTTGAAATGGGAGGATGCATCTCAGTTCCAGAGAATGCACTAAAAATGAGGGGACCTGGGCAGTGTCTCTGAGGCTTCACAGCTAATACTGATAACTCCATGGAGGCCCTGAACTACAGAGGTTTTCTTCGCATTTTCTTACAAACCCTAAAGAGGCAGATATAATTATGCACATATTTTCAAAATGATAAAACTGCGGAATTAAAAAAAATTAATTTATTAAAGATCAGTAAACGACAGAGCTCTGATTAAATGCAAGCAGCCCAAGTATAAAAATTCTTTAGTTTCAATCAGTTGAATGAGGTAAATTTTCACTTTAAATTTCCAATTATTTGTTGCTAGGACATAGAAATATAATTGATTTTTATATATTGACCTCATGTCCTATCATTTCACTAAACTCTCTATAATTTTTTAGCTGTAGTAGTGATTTTTGTTTTTTTGTAAATTCTTTATATCTTTCTATGAGGCTGGAGATGTTCCCTCTTTTCTATTTTCTGAAAGACTTTGGGTAGATTTAGTAACATTTCTTCCTTAGATGTTTGGTGAACACAAGTAAAGTTGCCTGGGCCTGAAGCTTTCTTTGTAGAAAGGTTTTTTTTTTTTTTTAACTGTGACTAAATTTCTTTTAAAGATATGTGCTATTCAGGTTACATTATTTCTTCTATGTGAGCTTTAGTAGTCAGGTGGGGGGTCTTCAAGTAAATTTCTCCATTTTATCTTAAGTTGCATAATTTATTGGCATAAAACCAGTCATATTTTCTCTTATCAATCTAGGATCTATAGTGACAGAAAGAAAGAGAAGCTTTCTTTTTGGTACTGGGGATTAAACCCAGGGACACTGAGTCACATCCCCAGCCCTTTTTAGTGAGACAGGGTCTCATTAAATTGCTTAGGGCCTTGCTAAATGGCTGAGGCTGGCCTCAAACTTGTGATCCTCTTGCCTCAGTCTCCCAAATAGCTAGAATTATAGGCATGTACCACCATGCCTGGCTTAAAGCCCCCCCTACCTTTTTGTTTGATATTGGAGACTTAATGTAGGGTACTTTATCACTAAGCTACACCCTTGCCCTTTTTATATTTTGAGGCAGGATCTCACTAAGTTGCTCAGGGCCTTGCTAAATTGCTGAGAAGACTGGCTTTGAACTTGCTATCCTCCTGCCTCAGCCTCCCAAATTGCTAGGATTACAGGCAAGCGCCGGCATGCCAGTTTGGCTTAAGTACCTTTCTGATGTTCCCTTAACCATTATACTGGAATTCCCATCAGCTTACTTTATTTTCAGTGCTGGCACAGAACTTCAAGAAGGAGGGGAAAGTATTTTACCCCAGGTGACAGCAGAGCTAGTTGGAGAGCCTGCATTGGAGAACCTGTCTCTGGAATTCTGGCCCAATACTTACCCACTATGGTATACTGACTCTCTGTGTTGGCCAGCCTATCTGTGTAGACAAGGCAGCAAATGACTCCACAAGGAAAGACCACTGCCTCTCTACAGTTATGAGTTGACAAGGTAGAAAAGTGGTCCTCCTACCTTTCCAGCACCACTCTCTCCACTGACCACAATAGACTGGTTAACTGGCTCAATCAGGCTCTTGACATTCCTGTAGGTCTGTTCACCCACAGTGAAGATGTGGGGTTTCAGTTTCTGAAACATCAAAAAGGGAATGGTCATGTGAGAAAATTTCTGTTTTCAAGAAGTAGTTGAGCCAATGATGGCTGAGATGGGGAGGCTGCCAACAGAAATGCCAGGATACTTTCTCCAGAAAAACTTCCTGGATTTAACAGTGTCAAGTCCAACTGTGGAACTTCAGTCAGTAACATTGATACTTTATGTTCCCATCTTATTATTATTTTTTTTTGGGGGGTGGGTGGGTATTAGAGATTGAATTCAGGGACACTTGATCACTGAGCTACATCCCAGTCCTATTTTGTATTTTATTTAGAGACAGGGTCTCACCAAGTTGTTTAGCAACTCACTGTTGCTGAGGCTGGCTTTGAACTTATGATCTTCCTGCCTCAGCCGCCCAAAGCTCCTGGGATTACAAGTGTGCACCACTTCACCCGGCCTTTATGTTGTTTTATTTGTCTTATTCTGTTGCTTATTATGTTATTGTACTTTGTAATCTGTAAAAAAACACTTTCTTACAAGTTACTAAGAAATCTGTGCATAAGTAAGGTTGAATAGCTAACATTTTATAGATGTGGCATCTGAGGTTCAGAGGAATTAAATAACCTTCCAAGGCCATTCAGTAAGTAAGTATTTCCATGTGATTTGAATTCCAAAACCATTGTTCTCCTTTCCTTCAACAACTATTAATTTTCCTCAATGTGCTGGGTACTGGGGAAACAGAACAGACCATGACCTGACTTTTCCCTTTGAGACAACGATGACAGTATTTAATATCAGGACAGACTTCCCTGGATTCTACCTGGATGACTCCCCATGCATGAACTTCTGGAGAGCCTGGCCATCTACATGATGCCTGGCCAGTCCAGCCAGCAATGGTCACTTACAGCCTCCTGAAGGAACACTGAGGATGCTTTCAGAATTATCATCAGCCACCAGCCTTTGTCCCAGCCACCTCTCACCTGGACTATTACAAAGCCTCGAACTGTTTTCTCTGCCTCCTGTCACTTTCCTGAACTCAATTCCCAGAGTAATTGCTTCCCCAGTGGGCTCTGTTTGCAGTCTTACCTCCACCCAGATGAAGCAGCCATGTGGACTCTGCCTGCTGTGGGCTTCAGACTCTTTACAAATAGTCCCCACTTTCTCCTAGTCCTACTCTCATCTACTGCCTCTCTCCCCACAGCCTCCCTCCTGCAAGTTTGCTCTTGCTTCTCCTTGAACATATCAAATACATTAACAACAAAGAGCCCATTCCCTGCTTACACCACCACTCCCATCCCTCAATAATTTATTATTATAAACATGTGCTGAATTTTCTAGGGCACTCCTTTTGTGTATGATTTTATTCTTTTCTAAAAAGATGGTTAGTTAAATATATGTCTTTGAAAATCCTTTCCTATGAATAAACCCAAAATTAAGGGAAAAAACATCCTTCAATCTATATGCCTATTTTAGGTTCCAAATTTAGCTAAATATTTATTCCCCAACTCATACCTTCTTTCAATAGTAATTTCTTTTGTGTCCAAATTTCTGAGAGTGCCTGTTGGGCAGAGCCATGGCACCCAGTTTTGAATGACAATATGGCTGGTAAATAGATAGATAAGGATGGGGAATCTGCAGATAGGTCTAGGTGGAGCCCTGAGGCCATAGGAGCCTTACCTGGGGTTGAGATGCAGCATGGTATTCTCTCATCATTTCTGGAGAGTAGAGCCCAGGGACAGGCTTGAAGGGGTTCAAAGCTACCAAGGTGCAGCCAGCATTGGTGTAGAATGTGTCCACCATGTACCGGGCCTGCAGGCACCTTAGAACTGAGGTGGAGATACTTTTAGCAAAGTCTGCCTCAAATACAGATAATACCACACACATAGACAGACCCACATCTGCCTACCAGCCCTCCCTCTGTGATTAATCAAGTTCTATTAGATCCTAGTAATTCCCTGATGAATAGGTACAAGATCTAATTAAGACGAGCCCCAAATCTGGACCAAGCCTGCCCTGGGGAGCCCAGGTGTAGCTGCCAGGCTCCCCTGGGCAGAAGTCTGGAGTGGCCTGCCTGGCTCCAGGTCAGAAGCCTTGCTTGCCTTGGTCTGACTGGGGAAGCTGTGCTGGATACTCTCATTGCACCTCTGCCCCTTGGAGACTGCACTCTACAGGAGAGGAAGGCCCATACCTGTCTCCAGTGTCACAGGATTCACCTTGGTGAGGTCATCTAACTGGTGCAATGGGGCCTCCCCACTCAGGAACTCTTGTATGTCTTCTCTGAGGGACACTTTGCTTTGGTCATGAGAGCTGGAACTGTGGCCATTCAACTGGAAAAGAACAAAGTAAGGACCATGAGAGCTGGGACTCAGACCAGCTAGCAGCTAATATGTTGAGAGCTTCCCGAGTAGAAAAATAACTGGACTCTACAATCAGAGTCTAGCAGGGTTCAGCTTTCAATTATGCCACTTACTGGTCCTATGAAACTAGGTAATTTACTTAACTTTACCAAACCTTCTTTATTTGTAGATAATGTAAAACAAACTCAGGGTTCTGGGGAAGAAGAGCTATACATTTAGTCAGGGCCTTGCACACAGTAAATGTTCAATAAATACTATGCTATCTCCTCTGCTAAGAGCTTTAGCCAAGTCAGCTTCTATGGTATCAGACTTACTGAGTCTGTTTGGAGAAGCCAGAGAGGGGCTGCTATAGGAGTATGGAAAGAGAAATGAACATGGATGGACCTTGTTTTAAAGAGACCATTCAAAAAAGTAGCCTCATGCCTTCGTCACCTGCCTCTTGAGACTAAATCTGGCCTAGTCAATGAATTGGTTCCCACCAACCTGAGTCTGCTTGAGCAGATGCCTGGCTCAGAAGGCTGCAACAGGTCAAGAACCTGCACCAAGGGGAACAGGCTCTATCTTTGATGCCAACACTTTCCATATGTTTCATCTCCCTAGTTTCCTCCCCTTTCATTCCTGTCTGTCACCTAGCAGAGGGTGAGAACGGAATAGAAAGGATAGAGTGGCAGGAGAAGATAGGCACCTGGCTAAAATCTGCTTTTGAAGGACAAGGTCTGTGACATGACATGTGTGGGTTTCCAATGAGACTGGTGAGCCCCAGAAGTCCAAATCCCTCAGGGAGTTAAGCCATGGTGGCAGGTTTCATCTGAGAAGCCCAGCAATGAGTTTCTTCCAAAGATGCTGCCAGTTCTCTGAACTTTGGGCCCACCATAATCTGCAAGGCAGTTTCATTCCCTCTAGGGTAACATAGTCAGCACAGCTGAATCTATGCAAACCCCTCTAGTGAAAAACAAAAAACCTCACTCACAAACATAGCTATAAGTTATGAGAAACTCTGATCCAACCAGAGGCAGTAGAGTAAAATGATCAAGAGCCTGCATTTGAAAGCTAGATCACCTGGGTCTGAATCCTGATTCTACTTAGTAGTTATACAATCTTATGTTTCTTAAACTTTTTCCATTTTGATTTTCCGTATCTGTAAAATGGAATGGTGACTGAACCTACCTCATAGATACTGATAAACATAGAAAAGTGTTTAGAAAGGCATCTGAAATATGACACATTTGTTATTGTTATAAAGGTTGGTCTTCTAATTAGGCAATAGAGCAAGGGCCATAAAACTATACATGTCTTTTTTTTTTTTTTGTACTGAGGATTGAATACATGGGCACTTTACCACTGAGCTGAATCCCTAGTCCTTTAATTTTGAGACAGGATCTTTCTGAGTTGCTGAGGTTAGGTTAGCCTCAAACTTGCAATTCTTTTGCCGTAGTGAAGGAAAGGGAGTTGCTGAGTTAACAGGCGTGTACCACCATGCCTGGTTAGAATTTATGATTGTAAAAAATGGACAGTAATCACAACATCAAGAGGGTAGACTGCTTAAATTTTGGAACACCATACAATGAAATAAAGCAGGTTACAAGAAAACACAATACCTTACAAGTTTTAAAATATATATACTTGAGGGGGAAATCTAGAACAGTCTCTAAATGTTAATTATCTCTGAGTAGTAAGCTTATGGACAATTTTAATGTTCTTTTTCCTTATCTTTATTTTCCAAATTTCTGATAAAGACATTTAACTTCTTGGAGGTCTTAGTACCAGAATTGGGATACAATACCACTGTATAGTTATAATACTATATCTTTCTCATGGAGATGTTATTAAGAATTAAACAAAATTGCATGTAGCACAGTGCCTACAAGTGTTGAGCACACAACAACAGCTCAACACAGGGCAGATGCTAGAATGGTTACAGTGAACATTACTCCTTTTTTTTGGCGGGGGGTACTGGGTATTGAATCCAGATGCACTTAACGACTGAACCACAACCCTGGCCCTTTTTATTTTGAGACAGAGTCTCCCTAAGTTGCTTAGTGCCTTGCAGTTGCTCAGGGTGGCTTTGATCTGCCTCAGCCTCTTGAGCTGCTGGGATTATAGGTATGCACCACTGTGCCTGGCCCATTACTACTTTTTAATAATAAAAAAGAAAATTAAAAAAAATTAAAAACCCAGAGCAGACAACAGTCCTGCCTGCTTCTTTCAAACTTCAAGCCCGTTTCATGAGCCAAACAGCAGAAAGGTCAAATGGCAGTATCTATTATAGCTTCTTTGGCTGGCCTGCCCCACACTTGGTTATATTGCTGAGTCTCAGGCATTTATCTACCTAGAACACCACTAGACCATAAATTCCTGCAGAACAGGTACTATTTTAAACATCTGCCTCAGTCTAGTGCTGTGCAACACTTAATAAAACAAAATTTCAGCAAATATATTCTGTCATTCTCTCTAATTAGGAACTATATATGAAGAATGATAGTAGTATGAGAAGATGCTTCACAGTGAAGGGTGATTTGGAATTGTACAGGCCAGAGGTGACGGTAGCTTTTTCAGAGAAGCAGAGGCCTGGAGTAAGAGCAGGTTTCATGCACCCCATGATCCATTAATCAGAACCCTTCTGTATATCCACAGTCATTGCCCACATTTTTTTACACATGCTAATCCCTTTGCCTGGACTGCTTCTTTTCCTTTTCCACTTACCTAATTCCTTCTTATTAAGACTCAGTCTCAAAGAACACTCCGAGAAAGCCTAAGGCTTCCACTGTTCTTCAACAATACATGCTGGTAGAGGCATCTCTCAGGATTCCCTCTCTGTTCACCAAAATGCCTAAGGAGTCCCTAAAGAAAAGAACTAAAAACTATAACAGAACTGATTCAAATGAGTTATCAGGAAAAGCATTAGAATACTATCTGAAGACAGAAAAGAAAAAAGGCCTTCAAGGGTTCTTTCCTGTCTTTCCAGGTTAGGCCAGTGGAAGCTTCATTTGGGCAAACAAAAGATGGGAAGGTGTCTTAAGTGCGAAAAGGCCTGGGTTACAAAAGATTGAGGTTTTACCTGCTGAAGCATCCTGCTTCACTGTGGTGAGCCAGGGTCCTGGGTCGCAGGCACAAGGAGTGCTAATCACCTGGTCACTGGGCCACCAGCATGGCTCTAGCAAAGGGCTCAGGTCTGGAGGGATCTCAGAGAAGTCATCCCAGAGTCTGTGGCATGAGAGAGAAGACAAGGGCCACGCACAGATGAGAGCTTCTCCAGGGTGACTCATTCCTTCTCTTCCCTCTGAGGAGGAGGAATCAAATGAGAACCAGGGCAGGTCTGGGCAGAGAGTGAGAGTCTGTCCTTTCCTTTTGCCAATTAGGGAACAGGAGAAACTTTGATGAGAGCCTCCAGAGATTCCCCGGGCTAACTGTTGATGCTGCCTTTCAAGTAAAATGTCAGGGCCAGTTTTATTACAGCTTTAGGGTTAGAGTTCTGGTGGGGATGTAAATCTTCTGGGTAAGTATGCCACAGAGGATGAAGATACCTGGGTGTCAGAAAGCCTCATGCCCTATTTTCTTCACCCTACATGGAAACATCCAATTTCAGCTGGTAAGGGGGAGAGAGACTGGAGTCAACACCTGAAGCTCCAGAAAAGCTGCTATGTGAAAGGATATCACAGTTCAGCCATTCATTGGGTGTGTGACCTTGGGTAAACTATAACACCTACCTGGAACCCCCAACTTGAAAATGGGGATACATCACAAGTGGTTGTGAAGGTCAATAAAGTCATGGTTTGAAAGCACCATTCAAAGTGCAAATCTGAATACACACAGAGGATAAATATTGTTAACACTGCAAATGAGGGTTGATAATGTTAATTGGGTAGAATTCAGGTGGAATCAGTGTCAACTTCAAGGTGAGAGGAGTGTTATAAGGCTAGACCTAGGTCAGTCTCTGAAGAAAGGTAAATTATCTTCAGATTTGGAATTTCCCAGGCCTCAATACCTCCAGGAAGAATAGATGAGGATAAGGGGCACCTGGAAAGGATTAATCCTGGTAGAGACTTCTGAAGGCTCTGGATACACCTAATTTTCAAAGAACCTAGAGATAGAGACTTCCTTGGAAACTGGAAAAAGGGTTAGAAAGGGGCAGTATGATTATGTTGGACACCTTTACTCTGAACACTGACAATACCCCTCCAAGAGACAGCCAGGTCTCTAGAGACTCAAGGAGAACAAAGCTCCCTGAACTGAAAGCTCATCTTGAGAGAGCTCCATTGAGGGAGCATACCAGGGTGTGGGGTTGGAATCCAAAGCTCACAACCCCACTACTGCAGATCACAAGAGCTACCTTATTATTTTCATTTGCAAAATGAAATAATAATAATATCCAGACCTCACAGTGCTAAATTAAGGCTCAAATAAGCTACTACCTATGAGAGCACTTAGCAAATGTTGGTTATTACCATGTAGCGTCAGCTTTTAGCTGAAGTCGTCAGATTAGAGCGGTTTTCTCCAGTTCTCCGGGCTGCTTCAGCTCCTTCAGTTCGTGGTTACCACGAATTTCTGAAAAGGGCGTGACCACAGTGGGCAGAAGGGAGTAATGAATAGGTGAAACACCAAGTCAAGGCAAGTGGCAACTTGATCACCAGCTCCTCCTCCTATCCGGCCTCAGTTTCTTTCTTGGCTCCCAGAGCAGTGGGAGGGCAGCCGCGGGGAAGAGCTGAGTAAGGGTCTTGAGAGATCAGTTGGCCCCGCCCCAGGTTCGTGGCGGGAACTGGGCGATATGCCCATGGTGCCATGGCTAAGATGCCGCGCCGAAAGCACCTGGCACCGGCAGAGTGTGTCCTTCCCACGAAGGTGGACGCAACCTCGGCCAGGGCGTGGCTCCCTTGACCCCTCCCGGGACCAAACGCCCCTCCCCAGTGCTTGGATAGGGCTGGGAGAGGAGCAGGCGCCGGGACCCAAGCTGGGACTCCTCCCCCGCCCCGCGCAGGCAAGGTGGAAAGTGACCGTGAAAGGTCCTTGTTTTGGACAAGGACCACGAGAACTGGGAGAACTGGGCTGCCTCCTCCTGGGACACGAGAATGTCAAAAAGAAAAGGGAAGATGGAAAGAAAACGGCAATTTAGAGAGGAGAGGGGAAGATGCCCCCTCTACCATGGCCCAGTAGGAAAACTGGCCTCCCTTAACCTTCAGGGCCGCTACAGATTTCGGATCTGGGCTGGGGGTGGCACTCACCGATCCCACGGCCCGACCGGCGAGATGCAGACCCCGCCCGGGGCGACTGGAAGGGCGGGCGGGCCGGCGGGAAGATCCCAGGGAGGGGAGGGGAGGGAGGGAAGGAAGGAGGGGAGGGAGGAAAGCCGGGAGCAAAAGCCTGGGAGAGAAAGTCCGCACTGCCCGATCGCAGCCGGCCCGCGGCTCTTCTGGCTAAGTGGCCGGGAGCCGGCCGGCTCCTCCCCTGGGGCGGGGCGCGCACACGCGGCGCGGGGCGCACGTGGCCTGAGGGGTCCCGCCTGCGGGCTCCACCAGGGACTACTCGAGAAGCGGGTGTTACGGCAGCCTCCGTTCCGGGGGTCTGGGCGTGGGGAACACGTGTGCCACGGCCCGTTTGGTGGAGGTCGCCATAGCCAAGCGTCACGCGGTTTCCTCGAACCCGATTTCCCTGACAGGGCTTCGCTGTGGGGTCTGAGGGGCCGAGATGAGGCGCATCACGCGCCTTTTCCGCTCCTCTCACTGACCCGCCCAAGGCCACGACTCGAGTGTCTGGGCTACAGAGCCCTACAGAGGACAGGCGTAGGGAGCCGGCGGGGCGGGGAAACATGCGACATCCGGCGGGGCCGCGCGGAATCTGCCGCTCCGAAGAGTAGGCAGCGCCCCAGCGGCCGGAAGCGCCGCTCGGAAGGCGGAAGCAGCGGGCTCCACGGGAGCCTGCTTCTCAGGTGGTGCGGACGACCCTCCTGCAGGGATGCCTGCAGCATCTGGAGCAGGTGAGGTAAAAGGGCAGGGCGTGGCCGTGGCGGGCGTCTCAGGAAAAGACTTGTGCAGGCTGACCGATTCCGACTGGTTAAGGTGATAACTGTTGCAGGCCTTAATGCGCGCATATACTCATTTATTTCATTAGTGTGGTTCGTGTTTGGCGAACAAAAGTGTTCTTCCAGTGTGCCGCCTTTCAGACGTTGATAAGTGGCAGAGAAGTGTTTTTTATCCCTTTAAAAAGAAGCCGCTAGGGCTGGGGTTGTGGCTCAGTGGTAGAGCGCTCGCCTAGCATGTGTGGGGCCCTGGGTTCGATCATCAGCACCACAGAAAAATATATAAAATAAAGGTATTGTGTCCACCTGCAATTAAAAAATAATTTTTTTTAAAGAAGCAGCTAGCCCTTGTATATGCAGCGTGATGTATCTTAACCTAAAAATATGGCTGCCCGTTAAATGAGGGAAGGAGCAACCTGGGGCTCAGGAAGGCTCGCCCTTTGTACCAGAGGCTGTAGGTACAGAGGTTCTCAACAGAAACTAGTGACCTCAACTACAAAGTGTACTTACAGCTTCTCTCCCTCTTCCTGTGGTTTAAAGTGATTAGTCATGTGTATACAATGTTCATTAAACAGTGTAGAGTACTATGCGCTGTCCTAGAAATTTCTGCCTTTGATGCCAGTCTTACAGTTTGGTCCCCCATTCACCTTTGTGAGTGTATACTGAGAAGAGCTTTCCACCAATAATTTCTAACTCTCTTGTATGACATGCCAATCCTACTACATCCATGTTGGCGTTTGACCACAGTCCTTGGAAGGAGAATCACAAGTCTTAGGTTCTGCACCTGATTTGAAATCACTAGGGCCTAAAGTTTGGCTCTGAAATCTAGAAATGAGTAAAATTAAATTGGGTATATATGTATGCCGATTTCACAAGAATGTTGCTTTCCACAAATCTATATCTTTGCTCTTGTTTTCACAGGAAGGGAAAAATGTCTCAAAAACAGATGAAAGAAGCTTTTGTCAGTAACCTCAATGGAACCAGCGTGTTGGAAATCAACCAGGGCTTGTGCTTTCCTGCATTCTGTATCCTGTGCAGAGGGCTCCTGCTCATTTTCTCACAGCACTTGTGTTCCTTTTCTCATACCTGGAGAACTCGATTCTTCATTGACTTTGTTGTCTTAATAGTTCCCCTGATGTACATTTTGACCATTTTGCCTGCAATTATCCTTCCTGAGCATATCACTATAATGATCTGTTGCGGAGGGCTGCTGCTCTATCAAATTTACCAAAGGAGAACTTGCTATGCCAGAATGCCTGTCCAGAAAATCCTTGAAAAATTCATGAAAATCAGTCTAGAATCAGAATACAATCCAGCCATTACCTATTACCGTGTAATTAACAGTATATTTACAGCTATTGCCATTTTGGCTGTGGACTTCCCACTTTTTCCCAGAAGATTTGCCAAAACTGAGCTCTATGGAACAGGGGCAATGGATTTGGGAGTAGGCAGCTTTGTTTTTGGGACTGCAATGGTTTGTCCAGAGGTCAGGAGGAAATATACCAAAGGGTCCAGATTTTATTATCTTACAAAATCATTGTACTCTTCTTGGCCATTATTCTTCCTGGGACTAGGACGGTTAATTGTTATAAAATCCATTGGCTATCAGGAACATTTAACTGAGTATGGAGTTCACTGGAACTTTTTCTTTACCATAATAGTTGTTAAACTGATAACATCACTGCTTTTAATGATTATTCCCCTAAATAAATCCTGGATGGTGGCAGTCAGCATTGCCATGTTATACCAGCTAGCCCTTGACTTTACCCCCCTGAGGAGGTTAATTTTATATGGCACTGATGGCAGTGGCTCGAGGGTTGGTTTCTTAAATGCCAACCGAGAAGGAATAATCTCTAATTTGGGGTATGTGGCGATATACATGGCTGGCGTACAAACAGGGTTACATATTCTTAAGAATAGAACACATATCAAAGACTGGTTCAAAGTAGCATGTTGTCTTCTACTAGCAGCTATTAGCCTCTTCATCTCTCTCTACATACTTCAAGTAAATGTAGAAGCAGTGTCCCGAAGAATGGCCAATTTAGCCTTTTGTGTGTGGATAGTTGCTTCTAGCCTGATCCTTCTTAGTTCTTTAGTAATAAGTGATATAATTTTGAGTTTTGCCAAATTTCTAATTAAAGGGGCTCTAGTACCATGTTCTTGGAAACTTACCCAAGCATCTTCTACAAATAAAAAGCATTCAGAATCTCTAGTCCCAGAAGCTGAAAGAAAAGAATCCAGTCTTTGTTTAATCACAGCTCTGAACAGAAACCAGCTGATTTTTTTCTTGCTGTCAAATATAACAACTGGTCTGATCAACCTAACAGTAGATACATTACACAGCAGTACCTCATGGGCCTTATTTTTACTCAAACTCCATATGTTTACTAACTGTTTAATTATATATTTACTTAATTTGCAAGGTAAAACTATAAAATTTTGGTAATTAGTAGCGACAGGATGATATTTGAGCAACATGATTTTAATAGGGAAGAATAAGTGTGGAGAAAAATCTGCTGTTAGCAACCCAGTCTTAATCATACTTTGTTATAAAGAATTCCAATCCTCTATGAAAGTAATGATTTTTTTTTGGGGGGGGGATTGAACCCAGGACATTTTTACCACCGAGCTACATCCTTAATGCTTTTTAAAAATTTGAGATAGGGTCTTGCTAGGTTGCTAAGGCTGAACTTGAACTTGTGATCCTCCTGCTTCATCTTCCCAAATTGGGATCATAGGCATTGCCACCATGCCTGGCTTATATTTTTTTTATTTGTACTTTTTAGAGATGGGGTCTCTATGTTGCTTAGGCTGGGCTCCAACTTGAGATCCTTCTGCCTCAGCCTCCTGAGTAGCTGGGTTTATAAGCATGTCCCATTGCACCTGGCTGCTTCATTAATGCATCTCAAAATTACATAAAACACACCAATGAGGAAGAAATAAAGACTTCTGATTTGTTAGAGTTTATTTATTAAATGCCAGTATTTTAAAGAAACTTCACAGTTTTGACGCTTGGAAGATTGGACCGTGAGAACTTTTATTTTCCAAAAACTTTGAATTTGCCAGTCTATTTTTGATTGTACTACTTTTTATAGTGTTTGTTAATTGGAATGTTTACATTAAAATATTTCAGTATGAGCTGTGAACTGTCAATACTCCTTTACTGCTTAACTTTAGTCTTTTAATAAAGCCTAGGAATAAGAAGTTTAAAATCAAATACTTACGAAGTCAGAAAACAAATGCTCCAAAGAATAGACTATATTTGTATGATGTAGCTTGCACCATAAGTATGAAACAATTTTTGCTTTTAAATATTTTAGCCTAGTTTGTGCTTGGGAGACAATGATAAAATGGATTTCCTGGTGTCTTGGGGCTTGCAATGTAGTTGGGGAAAACACATTAAACAACTGAACTGTTAAGTGATTTAAAAAAAAAAGTATAGGTGGCCTTGAGTATCAAACCAAGAACCCATTTAGTAAGGAATCAAAGTTGATGTGTGGGATAAATTTATCTGTGTCTGAGGGATGGGGTGGGTGTGGGGGACAGTAAAACAGCAGAGAGTATTCCAGATAGGATGAATCTTTCAGCAAAAGTCCATGAGGAGGAGGGAATCCAGCATATCAATAGAAAGAAGGCTGGAACTCAAGAAAAGGGAAGATGTGGGCAGTGAGCTGGAGAAGGTAGCAGGGAAGATCATTGACTATATTAAGGGGAAAAGTGAAAGTCATCAACTGCCTGGTTTACTTTAGTAAAACTACGGTTATACTGTTCTAATGTCTGAGATTTGGAGTCATGTTCATAAGTCTACTCCAAGTAGACCTATGCTCAAAATCTAAAATTTTAAGAATCCTAAAAATCCTTAGTTTCCAGTTCTAATGTTCTATGTATATCATTTAGAGGGGGCAAAAAATCAATTACAATTTGCCTATAATTCCATTTTCAAGTAGAAATCTGATTACTACAAAAATAGCTAAGGGATGGTCAGAAAGTAAGTTTATATTTGGTAAGCAATTTGGATTACTTGTATAGTGTAGAACAGCTGGAACTTCCCCTAATATTAGATTTTAGATCACTGTTTTAATTTTTTTCCTTCTGGAATTAGTTAAAAAATGTTTTACAGTGCTTGGGATTGGACTCAGGTCCTCTTGAATGCTAGGAAAGTTCTCTGACTGAGCTATAGCCCAGTCCCCAAATTTATTTTAATATATGTTTTAAATGTAACTATCATACTATTAGTTCACTTCAATTTATTAAATGTATGGCTAATGTAACATTAAGGTGGTACTTTATATTTGCTAATTACAACCGATTACATTTGGAGTTAATGTATTATTGAGATGAATTTCCCCCCAAAGAAATCAGTATGTGGAATAGTTATAGAGCTATTAAAATAAAAACCAGATTTTATTTTCAATTAAAAAGTAAGACTTTTGAAGTTCAACCAACAATACTACAGTATGTAAATTAAGCAGGACTAGGAAAGGGGACTGGTTTTCCTGCTAACTATGTCACAGTGCCAATACTCCACAATTTATCTGTTCAAGCAATCAGAGGAGGGGAGAAATGCTCAACCATATTATTTGCTCATTTAGAAAAAGTAATTTAAAGTAAGTTATAACTTTATGAATGTTTTATAATTGGTCTGTTTCCTTTTCTCACTAATTGCTCCTTCATACTTTTCTAGCTCTTACATGTCTCTAGGTTTAGGTCCCCCCCCCCTTTGGTACTGGGGATTGAACTCAGGGTCCCTTAACTATTGAGCCACACCCCCAGTCCTTTTTTTTATATTTTATTTAGAGACAGGGTCTCACTGAGTTGCTTAGGCTGGCTTTGAACTTGCATTCCTCCTGTCTCAGTCTCTGGCTTCAGTTTACATCTTGGTTGTTACATATACTGAATCATACAAGAACAAAGTGTACTGTTTTTTCCACCACACTTTCAGTTCTGAAAGTCAAGTAAGAAAAAGCTTAGCATTTATAAAAATGAGAATTGGTATGCAAAGCCACATACCTGATTCTACTTTACAGAAGAAAAAAATCAGCAATGATTTACTGGGTTCTAATGTATCAGGATAGATGCTTATGATACAAACAGAAAATAAGACAAAGTCCCTGCCTTCAAGGAGCTTACATTCTAACTTGTGAATATTATTTTCCTTAAAAATTATTTAAGGGAAATTATGTTTCTTTCTTTCTTTCCTTTTTGCAGTACCAGGGATTCAAACAGGGGTGCTCTACCACTAGCATATGAGCTATATCCCCAACCCTTTTGTAAAATTTGAAAAAGGGTCTCACTAATTTGCTGAGGCTGGCCTCAAATTTGTGATCCTCCTGCCTTTGCCTCCTGTGTAGCTGGGATTACACACATTTGCCACTGCACCTTGCATGTGTTTCTATTTTTGACAGGACTTCCTCCTAATGTCAGCTCATGAAAAAGAAAATTTATAAATCCTCAGATTTGGACAACTAGTAATTTAAATGTATTTGACATTTACTACCACATCAAATAATGTAGATATCAGTGAAAACAATACAAAGTATTCTAATCAACTATCATTTTCTTTGCTAGTATCTGGTGTGTGTTTAGTAATGAACATAATTAAAATTGGCTACTACAACTTCAGCTTTTCATTCTCAAACACAATCCAAATGAAGTTTAACTGGCTTAAAGTAGATTAATTGGTAGTGTAAAGGAGCACTTCTAGAAAAGCCACAATATTTTTCTTGAATGTTTTTACATAAAACACGATTCTCTAAAATTAATGTCCAAATTTTGACTATGTACTCTAGACTGTCTGAAGCCACACTCCCATCCTATATGCTTAATGGATTTAAGCTAATGATCACACTGTTCTTTCCTAACATGGTGAAGGTATAAATACCTTTTGGACTTAACAATGGTTCTTCCAGTTTATTATGTCACCTACCTTAACAGTGATCACACAATGTCATTAAGTCAACATGGCTAAGGATGCATTATGGGGTATTTTTATTGTTGTGAATTTCTTAGACTTCGTGTGATGACCAAAATACTTTTTAAAGGTCAGTATCAGCTCTAGCTCATTCTACCAGGACGTATAGATCTGTCCTAAAGATTAATCAGTTGTAATTGTAGCAAATGGCTCTATCCTTAAAAATCATCAAAACTTTCATAGGCAAGATACTTCCCAACAACTATTCTGGCTTTACAACAAGCATTAATGACTGCAAGGTAGGAACTGAGTGCATGGCAGTGGGCTGCTTCTGGGAAATGGTAAGGGAAGGGCCTTTGGCCATCACCGGTACTTTGCCCAAGGGAATCCCTAAGTTAACATTAACTCAGCTTAATTAGTTCCTTTGGCCAGGCCACCTACAAAAGCCACTGTCCAGTCTTATATGCTTCTGGTGCAGCAACAACAACAAACCTGTCAGCACCTGAGTATTTTTCGTTACCCCTCACTCCCTGGCAGGATTTCGATGAGTCCGTGAAATAGTAATGCGGCTGGCCCGGGGTGAATCAGGGTTGGCAGGGCCCTTTCCTCCTCCAATCTTCCTGTCGTGGAAGGCGACCTAGTGGTCAAGAGCCTGGAAACCAAGGCCAGAGTTTGTCTCTGAGCGCCCATTTGCTTTCCCTCACTGTCGCTGTCCGCTTTTGCTGGCCAAGGAAGCCTCAGTTTACCACTTACCCAAGTCCTCACTGGGTCTCGACCCGTGGGTCGGCCTGGAGTCTGCTACATTTGGCTCCCTTTACTCCAGGCCCAGGGGAGAGCTGTTCCCAGTACCGCGAAGAAGGGGACTGAGGTTTAGATCTACATAATCCTCGTACCAGCACTATTTTTGGTTTATTCAAGTATCTAAACTCTGGGAGCACCCACCGTCTCTCATATCGTCTCCTCTGCGAGGATTTCGAAGGCAGCGACCAGAGAACAGCGGCCTGTAGTCTCGCGATAAGAGGCGGGGCCCCGCCCGGAGTTCTGGGCCCCTCCCTGCCCCACCCTCCCCACGTCCCCCTCCTTCCTCCCCCACTCCCCGTGGCGCGAGCGGCTGACTGAGCCTGGAGAGGAAACGGCATTCGGAGCCGCGCTCCCTCCCAGGCCGGCCCTGACGCGGGCCTCGTCAGCCGGTAACGGGGAGCAGTGGGGGTCAGGGAAGCGACCGCAAAAACGGTGAAGGTCAGAACCGGGAACCCTCCTCCGTGAAGGGTGAGGAAAGGGTCTGGGCCTGCCCCCACCCCGTCTCCGCAGAGCTGAGGCGGGGTCGACCCCTCCCAGGGGCGGGGTCGCGCTGGGCAACTGCAGCCTGGGGACTGACTGGGCGGGGCGCAGCGAGAGGGGAGAAAGGGTCAGCTGTGGGCTGAGGGCATCCCTGCGGCGGGAAGCGGGGAGTGGGCTGTAGAGCCGAAGCCGGGCGTTAAGAGTCCTGGAGCCTGGACTCCTGTGACGGGCAGGGAAGCCCCCGGGCCAGCGGGTCCTTTCCGCCTCTCCTTTGGACCCTGACTGGAGGCCGGCGGGCGGGGGGAGGGAGGCAGAGCGGCGCGAGGGGGCGGGTCCCGGTGCTACTTGGCGCTGATTGGCTGAGCACGTGTGGAATCGGGTGATGGGAAACGCAGCGCGGCTCTCTGGTCCCCTCCAGCTCCGCGCCCTCCCCCCCGTGGCGAATGTGCTGCGCGGCGGCGGGTGCTTACGCTCGCGGGGTTTGGCTGTTGCAGGCAGGAGCTGGGAGGAGGCGGAGGCGGCAGCGGCAGCGGCAGGAGCAGCAGCGGCGGCAGCTGGGAGGAGGTGGTGACGGTGGCAACGGCAGCGTCGGGGACGATGGCGCGACTGGTGGCAGTGTGCAGGGACGGGGAGGAGGAGTTCCCCTTCGAGAGGAGGCAGATTCCCCTCTACATAGACGACACACTCACGGTGAGCGGGCCGGGCCGGGCTGGGCCCGCTGCTCCCCTGGCAGCTGTTTCCCCTCCTTCCCCTCCCCCAGGCCGAGCGCTGCGCACTGGAGAAAGAGTGTGTTGCAACTCCTAGGCGAGGCCTTCTCTCCGGCAGGCCCCGTAAACTCGCCTTTGCAGTGGGTCTCTTGGCACCCTTTGCCTGCCCCAGGCCCAGTGTTCCGAACGCATTTGGAGCCCCTCTTCCCAGGTTTTCCTTCGTTTTTGAACCTTCTCGCGTCACCCTTTCCTTTCAGGAGACGCTGCTTTTGGGAAAGCACGCTCCTTACACAGGGTTTGAAGGATCTTAGGTGTTTAGGGCCTATCCCTTACAGAAACCACCTACCCTCAGGGAGACTTAATTATCTGGAAATGTCGCAGCTGCATTGCTACCTGTATTTTTAAAATTTTAATACCATAGCTCTCACTACATGAGCATAATTACCGAGGGCAGACTGACATGCTCTTACTCAGTGAAGATTCCACTAGAATGATTCGATGTCGTTGTAAGTAGTCTCAATGCCTGATACATGAAAACTCCTGAAATGATTGTGTTGCTAGGCCATGACTCTTCAAAATGGGTTTTCTTGGCATTAGTTCTTTAGTTTACAGGTAGATTTAAAAAAAATATTTAAATCATAAGACTAATATAAAAAAGCTGATTGCTTATCTGGAGTATAAAGACTTGGTCCTGGGTAGGTGGGTTTTTTTTTTTTTTCCTGTTTTTCTTTTTTTAATAGGAGTTGTTGGTGGTATAGCTTTGCCCACCCTCTGCCCTCTATTTCTATACTATTTCCTTTAAAAGGAAATGCAGAAATTTGAATTGAATCTGAACAGGAAATGAGTGCAGTTGCTTGTCACTATTAAGAAATGAAATGAACCTTTTCTGAATAGCTCTTGAAATCTGCACTTTGATGATGCTGAAGCCTTGAATTAAACATTTGCCTATTTTGATAAGACTCCTTATTTTAGCACCTTTGACTTTTTTGCCATTCAAGGGCAATTGATCAGTTTTCTTCCTGGAAAAATATTTTTTTCTTTTGCACTTATCTACAGAAGGTTTTCACATTTTATATAAAATGCAAGTCATTGTAGAGATGCCAGTCTATGCCTTTCTTTTTGCCAATATCAATTAAGACTTGATAGAGCTGCAGTACTTTTAAAAGAGCGATTGAATGACTTAATTTGTTAGAACTTTTCAAGCAAAAGCATCTATAATTATCCAAGTCCTTTTTTTTCCTCCCTTCATGGAGAAAGCATGATTTGGCCTGACATAAAGTAAATAAAATTTGTGTTGATGCTTTAGAAATTACTTGTATGTCCTGGTTATGATGGTTTCTGCATTTTTTGCATTAGAAGTATAATGAACTTTTATTTTATTCTTTTTTTTTAATTTTTATTTTTTTGAGCTGGATGTCTCATTGTGTTGCCTAGAATGGTCTCAAACTCATAGGCTAAAGAAATCCTCCTGAGTAGCTGGGACTACAGGCACATTCACCCCTGCCAGCTCTGGACTTGTATTTTAAATAGTTAAAAAAGAAAAATAGCACTTTTGATCAAATTAAATGATGCCTTTCTCAGTGTGGAAACTCTTGACATCAAGAGTTTATTTGTTGATAATTATTTTTTCCTAATCGCCCTCTTCAACATAAACACTTCAGAGGCACAGTTTCAACCTTGTAGGTTTATTTCCCAGAATGGCTTTAAAAAAATTTTTTTTTAAATCCTATGGACTTTTAATATAAGATACTCTTTTGGTATCTTGAGTATATAATGTTAAAACATGGGGAAAAAATATTGTAAATTTTGAGTATTTATAAAATTCTAAGATACTGTTCTCTCCTTATGATCACTTTTAATGTGAGTGCAGCACATTAATACACCTGTCATCTAGCACTTTAAAGTAACCAATATATATGATGCATTTTCCATAATGATATGAATTTCAAAATTTTCCGTAGAAAAAAGATGTAACCTTGCATTGTGGTTTAGTATGGTGATTACTTCACATTGCACTGGATGGTTGAGTTTTGCTTTTATTGTTCTGTGGACTTGTGGCCAAGACAAATAAATTTAAGCTTTTTATCAAAATGATATTTTATTTTGGGCAATTATTTTTTGAATAGGTTTTTATCCCTAGGGAATGAGTTAAATTTTATTTGTCTTGGACACTTCTACAGTCTTTGAGTGCTGTTGGTAAATGAATTTTAGGGAACATTTTTGTCAAGGACGTGGTATTTAGGAAAACAAGTTCCTTTCAGGACCATTCTACCAAATATCACATAAAGAGTGAATGCAGGGCAAAACACCTGTTGGTGGAGAACTGGGAAGAGGAAGTGAAGATGTCTGAGGTTTATGCTCTGCATTGGCCCATTGATAGTTTGAAGGCAGTGTGTGCCTGAATTTAATGTTTGGTTTGATCTTTGTTCCTAGGGTCTAGAGGTAATGCACTGAGGAAACATTGTGTTTATTTCAAGCACATTAATCTTAGACTCTTGTTAACAACTAGATGTTATTCTAGTTACAATGTTTACAGATTACAGGCAGTTACAAATTTTATCATTTTAGTAACCAGCATGCTGAAAATTCTAGCCTTAATAAACTGGTGATTTTAACTTGTATTTATAAAATGAAATTAAGAAACTTGTGTATGAAGAAGTCTCCTCTTTTATGTTATATCCACATTAAAAAGATTCCTGTGGTAGTTTAGTGGTTTTGAACACTTGAGTATAGTACTGATCTAAATGTATTGGAGAAAAATCCCAAGTAAGTAAACTGGTGGAATGCTTAGGAAAGTGTTGACGTAGGTCGCCAAATGCTGTTCAGTGTTACTAGCTGATTAGAGATACCTTTGAAGAATTATAGTTTCGGGCTGGGGATGTGGCTCAAGCGGTGATGCGCTCGCCTGGCATGCGTGCGGCCCGGGTTCGATCCTCAGCACCACATAC